ACTCCAGGTTCTTTACAGGTGTTTGATGGGAAGGCTTGTTTTGGCTTATTTTACATAAAAGTTACCAATCCTGCTTTTAAAGAGAAATAAAAAATATGTAGGCTCTGAAGTTAAAAAGGAAAATAATATATAATATAAGACCTTAAAAGCCCTGAAGTTTTTGGTGTGTTTGATTTATCAGCTTTGATTATCTGTGGCTGGCAGGAGCAGCCTCCAGGGATAGTGTGGATGTTCATACTCATAAATGTACGCTTGCTAAAGGGGAGAATTTATTTCTTACAGAAAAATCCCTTTAATTGACCTCGTGCAGTTGAAAGTCTCCACATTGTCTCTTTCACAGAGAGCTGGAGCTGGGGAGAGCCCAGTCCCAAAGAGGGGACAAGGTTTGTGAGTCTGAGAGAGCCCAGGAGCCAGAGAGGGGAGATGATCCAGCCTGGAATGCCAAGTGCCTGCCAAGCCATGCTCCTCCAGAGCTTTGTGCACTCAGGGGTTGTGTTGGTCACCAGCTACAAATACATTCACAGCAGCCACAGTTAGCATAGCCTGAGGCCACTGCTGTCATTAAAAACTCACCGTTTTCAGAGTGCTTCCCATCCTGGCCGTAGCTGGGACTGGGCTGACCTTAGGACAGTCATTTTTGTAAAAATAAACTCTGAGTACAGGATGGAGTGCTGGGGAAATGTTCTGCAGATGCTGAGGCAGTTCTTAGTCAGCTGTTGCTGCACAGTGCTGGTCCCTTAATCCTTGCTGAAGTGTTGGAATTGGTGTGATGAGCTTTTTGTCAGTTGAATGCCTATTTATAGTACATTTGTTGTGTTTACTGAGGGCATATTTCCCTTGAGCACCAGCAAAACAGACAGAGATGTTCAGGAACAGCTTGGGTTTTAAAGTCCTTCATTTTAAGACTTGAAAAGCATTACCTGGTGTCCAACAACCTTAAGAAAAACCTTTAAAATAATGGATTGGTTGTACCTTGTTCAGCCAGTCAGTTTTACAGTGCTGCAGCAGACTCAGCGGAGCAGTATGTGAAAGTTAGGTGTGCTGTGGGTTTGGGTCTTCTGAAATCTGGGGTACAGTTAAGTTCAAAAAGCACATGCCAGGTTTTACAGGAGATGTTTCAGCTGGGATGGCTCAGTTGTAAAGTGAGACTGCAGAGAGCTTGGGCTCACAAAGAGGCAACTGAAAACCAAGTCAGGATAAGTATCACAGAATCATGGAATGGTTTGGGTTGGAAAGGGCCTTAAAGCTCATCCAATTCCACCCCTTGCCATGAGCAGGGACACTTCCCGCTGTCCCAGGCTCCTCCAAGCCCCAATGTCCAGCCTGGCCTTGGGCACTGCCAGGGATCCTGGGGCAGCCACAGCTGCTCTGGGCACCCTGAGCCAGGGCCTGCCCACCCTCACAGGGAGGAATTTCTTCTGTATATCCAGTGTAAATGTAGTTGGAATTCAATATTTTAGAACCTCCTTGGAGAAAAGGCTTCAGAAGAACTACTTTGTAACAGATTGAAACCCACAAGGAGCAAATGTGATGGAATGAACGCTGTCAAAAGTGCAGGGAATAATTTTCCTCAATTGGATAAGTGTAAACTGAGATTCTCCAGTGCACAGCTCCAGGGACCCTGGGCTCAGGGACAATTACCTGAGCCTGGTTTTTACTGGAGGCTTGACAAGGCTGTGCCCAGCACTGCTTGAGTGGCATTTGGTTATAAACCTGGAAATGGATTAGTGCTCTAAAATGAGCTGTTCCTGCCTGTCAGTTTGTGAAGCTTTTCAGTGAGTGGGAGGAGGGTAAATGGCTTTAAATTTCAGTGGGACAGGGACAGAATTCGTAAGGCATGAAAGGATCTATTGAAGTTCTTTCCACTCTGAATAATTTTGTAAAATGAGGGGCTTGTAAGGCGTATAAAAGCTCTTTGGAAAATGGAGTGTCATCAGGTAGCCCGTGCTTACGGAGATGTTGACCTTTTCAGAAGTAAATTACTGCTGTTCTCCTCGGTGCATCTAATCCTGCAGACAAATTATTCTGCGGGGAGAAACCTATATTAAGACTTCCTCAGCTAATCAGCAAAAGCAACTTCTCTGAATTACTGGGAGGAAATAATTTAAACAATGGAATTATTTCAGTTTTATGTAGCTTTTGAGAAGAAGGGGAACAAAATGCAAAGTACATTTGAGATTGTTAATGAAAGGGCAGGGAGGCCTTTCAGACGAGTCGCTTGCGTAGCTGTTCACCTCCTGGCTTCAATACCCACCAAAATTAAAATTTAGAAGTGCCACAAGGATAACAAAGCACTTAAAAACAGTTCTTTAAAGGAGGCTCAGGGCTTCATCCTAATACATCTTTTTTTTTCATCTTTCAGAGTCTGATTTGTCCAATTTGGCCAAGCTCTACAGAGATGAGCGGTTAAAACAGAAAGCAGAGTCCCTGAAACTTGAGCACTGTGAGAAGCTCTCCAGTCTGATTGGGATGCATAAAGGGGGCTGACCAGGACGCACACGTTCCATACTTTTATTTATTGCTGGTCTAACTTATGTTTTTATTTTCCTCCATGTGAAAAGGAAGGAGTCTGTTGTAAAGAGCATAGATATCGGAGTCCTCCTGCAGGCAGTGCAGAGAGGGGCTGGCACAAGCTGCAGGGCTGCTGTTTGCTGTAATATATCCTGTACATTAGATTCGGGTCCAAGGACCAGTGGCACTTTGTAAATTCATTCCCCAGGACACGCTCTGAGCTCAGACCCCAGCTGTGTGGGTGGTTTGTCTGCCATCCAGGCTGTGTGTGCTTCCCAGGAGAGCAGGCTTCTCTCTGCTTCCCTTGTTTCCTATGGATCTGCAGCCCCTGGATCCCCGGAGAGTGCCGTGCTGGGGCTGGGTGTCACCTCCCCCTGTCCCTCCGGGCTGTGCCACAGAGCTGGGGTGGTTCCAGCGCGGGAGGGACAGTCCCTGCCTGAGGGCAGCCCCTGAGCACATTCCCAGCTCTCCCATTCTCTGGTGCTCCAAGGGAGGGCTGTGCCCATCCTGACACCAGCATGGGAGTCTGGGAATTGCACCCATTCCAGTGTCTGCCAGACTGCTGGGAAAGCAGCACTGTGGTCATTCCCTCCTCTGTTTCCAGTGGCATATTTCAAAGCTGGCTGTTCACTTCTGGTTTTTATCTTCACACTCCCCCAGCTCTCCCAGGATCCTGCATTTTCTGGTACAGTTCTCATGTAGCATATTTTTACTCTGTTGAGCAGCTATGAATGTTTCACTGTAGACATGATATTGCAAAGAAAAATCCATGTGGCAATGTCCTGTTTTTTCTTGGTCCTCCTTCACACAGCCAGGCCTTGAAGGCAGGTTGGTGCTGGGTTGTCCTGGTGAGCAGCAGAGCAGTGTTAGAGCCGTGTTGCTCCAGCTGAACACCATGAACCCCCCGAGGCAGTCTGGTGTATGCCCTGCATGGAATGAGTTGCTCTTCCAGGGAATTCCTGCCTGGGGTGGGGGCTCACAGAGCAGCACTGCTCCCCTCTGACCCTGGGAACTGGAGTCAGAGACACCTGAGCAATGCTCTGCTGTTGCCACATGCCTGAAACTCGAGTCACACAGGATGCACAGGTGGCCTTGGCTGAGACCTAAGGAGTAAATACTCAAAAGCTTGGGAAATGCCAGGATTAAGCCTGCCTTTAAAGTTCAGACTGTGGGCTGGGCACTGGTGCAGTGGGGTAGGAATCTCACTGGATGGAACTGGAGATGCTGGTGCCACAGTGTGTCCCCTCCATGTCCTGTCCCATCCATACAGCCCTTGGAGGTTTGGCAAGAAAGGAAGCTGGGAATAAAACCTTTCCTGGGGTCTGCACAAGGATGAGGGATTGGTTTGAGGCCTGGTGCTTCTGTACACCAGCCCTAAACATCCCAGGAGAGGAGGAGAACGGTCCAGGGCCAGCAGCAGTGCTGTGATTGGGTGTCATAAAAGGAGAAAAAAATGCACACAGTGACTCTAAATTGCATTTTTGTGCCCCATTTGTAAGAAACCTTGTAGGAATGTGGGGAAGATGAGTTGAAATTTTGGGGCACCTGGAACAGGAAAAGCACCAGTGAAAATGGCCTTTTGAGGGGGTTGGTGTTGGGCATTCTTAGTGCCAGGGCTTAAGGGCAGAAACGGGTGATGATTCCAGGTTGGTGGCTGGCACAGCAGGCAGCCTTAATGCTGGTATTTCTCACTTTTCAGCACGTGAGTGTACAAAAAGTGAAAATAATGTTGCTTTTTATATATTAAATAGCTTGTAGAATATATTAAGAATCTATTTAAGTGGTTGGACTTTGTTCCAGGGTTGGTATGTTCCCTGCCGTTCCCGTGTGACTGTAGAGGGATGCAGGTAGGGAAACCAAATCTGGCAACTTCCTGGACTCATAATGTCCTGCACGGAGCTTGAACTCCTCCACAGCACTTTGCACTGAAACCAGATTGTACCTTTCATCCAAAAACCTCGAGTACTTGATGGAGACCTCCTGTGGGAAGCACAGTCAGCTGGGAAACGCAGGAGGGAGGTAAAAACATCCCCAAAAGCAATAAGTGTTTTGTTCCTAACCAGGGTCAGGGTGCTGGTCCTGGTGTGTGCTGTGAGGAAGGACGTGTGGCTTGGGACCTCTGCGGTGACGAACAGGACAAGTTGTGTTTGTTCAGTGCTCCTCGGGGAAAAGGAGAATCCTCTCCGGAGCCCCGACGTGGAAATGCATCGCTGTCCTTCTCCAAAGGGTACTTGGGGTTCTTTGTGGGGCTCTGACAGGAGGAGAGGGTGTTCCTGAGTGCACCAAGCGCTTGAACGTGGGTTTGTGTGTGTATATATATTTATTTATTTTTAAATAAAGACGTGACATCGCTGTGCCTGTCCGTGGTTGTCCGAGCCTGGCGCCGGGAGAGTTGCGGGGGATGGCGGGGATGGGGCCGGGGAGGAGGAGGCGGCCGCCATTTGCCGCGGGGACATGGCCGAGGGCTTGGGAGCGGGATGGGGATGGGGACCGGGAAGTGGGCCCTCTGCGTGTGTGAGGGCCCGGGGTCTGTGCGGGCCCCGCCGCGCGGCCTGCACCTGCCGTGGGGCTCGGCGGGAACGGACACGGGACTGGGGACGGGACACGGGATAGGGAACAGAACAGGGAACGAGGCAGGAGGTTACAAACGATGCCGGGAACGGGACAGGGGCTGGGAGAGGGGCTGGCCCCTGGCACGGCGCCGTGTCCCAGCCCGGGCCCGCTCTGCGGCTCGGGGCGCACGGCCCTGGCAGCCGCCCGGGCATTGCCCCTGTGCCGCAGGGACGCCCTGGCAGCCGCCCGGGCATTGCCCCTGTGCCGCAGGGACGCCCTGGCAGCCGCCCGGGCATTGCCCCTGTGCCGCAGGGACGCCCTGGCAGCCGCCCGGGCATTGCCCCTGTGCCGCAGGGACGCCCTGGCTCGGGGGGCGGCTGGGCGCCTCTGTCACACAGCGCCCCGGGCTGTCCCAGTGCCTGGGCTCCTCCCAGGGGCTGCTGCCGCGGCCCGGATGCCCAGGTCCCTCCTGAACCCGAGGCGGCTCTGAAAGCCCCTGCCAAGCTGGGCCGGTGTTTCCTGCTCCTCCGGAGCCGCAAAAAGTAGCTCCAGCGTGGGAGAGGCACATCCTGCTTTCAGCAGCTACCAGCAGCCTTCCCCCTCCTCGCTGCCCGTGCCAGGCTTGCCAGCACTGAGGTGAGCACGCTCCAAGCTGGCACGAAATCCAGGTTAATAAGCAAATGCAGTGGTGAGGCTACAGGCAGTATCATGCTGGCTTAAACATAAATGAGTGTTTAATTAGCAAATCTGGCTCAGCCGGGGTCCACCCGCTGTTCTGTAACATGTTTGTGCCCCACAGGCACAGCCCAACCTGCTCTGGCTGCTGGGAGGTGCTGGTTGGGTTTCATCTGGCAGGAGGAGCCCAGGGGTCTCTCCATGGCCTCCACACCGAGGGACAAACTCGGGAGCAGCAGGAGGAGCTGCAGGTCTGCAGTGTGGCCTGGCTTGGCACGTTGGTGGCCTGGGGCTGTAGCCAGGGCAGTGACAGCGATGCCCGGACAGTTCTGCTGCTCCCACAGCACCCCCAGAGGGGCTGTGCACAGCATCCTGGGGGTCACAGAATCACAGACTGGTGTGGGTTGGAAAGAACCCCAAAGGCCACTCCCTTCCACCCCCTGCCATGGCAAGGACACCTCCCACTGTCCCAGGCTCCTCCAAGCCCTGTCCAGCCTGGCCTTGGACGCTGCCAGGGATCCAGGGGCAGCCACAGCAGCTCTGGACACCCTGTGCCAGGGCCTGCCCATCCTCACAGGGAACAATTCCTTCCCAATATCCCACCTAACTCTGCCCTGTATCACTATGAAGACATTCCCTGTGTCCTGTCCCTCCATCCCTCGTCCCCAGTCCCTCTCCAGCTCTCCTGGAGCCCCTTTAGGCTCTGGTAGGGGCTCTGAGCTCTCCCTGGAGCCTTCTCTCCCAGTGAGCAGCCCCAGCTCTCCCAGCCTTTCCCCTGCCTTGCTCCAACACTCGTGCTCAGCACAGTCCTTGCTGCTGCTGCTGCTCTGACACCCAGGTCCCGCTAAAACCACAATGGTCACAGTGACAACAGCTGTGACAAGTGACTCAACACCACCGGAGGCTGCGAGGGTGGCAGGAGAGCAGCACCGGACACCCGGCTGTGGTGTGCACCCGCTGTCCATCCGCTGTCCATCCGCTGTCCATCCGCTTCCCGGCACCCGCTGTGGGTGCTGCAGGAGGTGGGATGGCCCCAGACACACCCTGGAGCTCCGTGGAGGAGCAGGACCGGGGATGGCAACTCCAGCACTGCCCTGGCAGTCTGTGCCTGTCCCTGAGCATGAAGAAAGGGATTTGGGGGTTTGAAAATCCCACACAGACACTCCTTCTTGCACAAGGCCACCACACCAGTGAGCACTGCCCACAGCAGGTCCCCTGCAGTCCCTCTGGGTACAAATGCCACCTGCAAGCCCAGCCCAGCTCAGCAGGGAAGGGTTAAGTGCCAGCCCAGCTCTGCGGGAAGCTTTCCTCTCCTCCTTGCCAAGGTTTAAATTTAGTCCCTGCATGAACCCAGAGGACGTGGGCATCAGGTTGCTTTGGGACTGGCAGCGCTGGGGAGCACCTGCTGCTGTTTCATGGCAAAAATTCCCCCAAAAGCTGGGACTGGACTGCACCAGCAGAACTTGGGGTGGACAAGCTGCAGAGACCCTCGTGTCACCCCAGCCACCCCACCACTGGCTTGGGGTGTCCCCAGAAAAGACACATGCTTGCAGTCCTTTGGTCAGCTCCATGCCTGGGTTGATCCCAAGCCTTGTGAGTCTGCTCCTGGCCGCTTGGACTGGCTGTGTGGGAGCTCCTGTTTGGGGTAGGGTGTGTTTAGGGGAAAGCCCAGCGTGGATGCACCATTGCTGTGGCAAGGTGGGCAGTGGCACCGGGAAAGGAGCTGTGGTGGGGATGGAGCTGCAGCTCGGGATCCTGCCGTGCCCTCAGCACCGCGGATGGGACATCCCCAGAGAGGTCTGCAGGGCCCCCCCCCCGCTCCAGGGCAGCCCAGGCCATGGGATCACAACCGGGAGCTGTATGGGGTTCCTTGGGACATGTCCTGCGGTTTGGGGAGAGCGGGGCGGGATGAGGAGCAGGGATGGGCCGGCGGCCCCCGGCAGATCCCCGAGGCTGGGGGCGGCGGTGGCATCCCTGCAATGCGCTTGGCATCGGCTGCCCCGGCTGGCGCTCGCCGAGTCCATGTGATCCGGGGCTTGCTCTGTGCCGCCGCCGGGTCCAGCCGCCGGGACGGCGAGGGAGCCAGAAGGTCGAGCCAGCGGCCCCGACAGGGCAGCCCCAGCCCCGAACAGGGTTCCCCGGCATCGGCTGAAGCCCCCGGGCTCCTCCCTGCCACCATGCCCCGCGGGAAGAGGGACCCGGTCCTGCTGTCCCCCGCCGAGCTGCCCGGCCCCGAGGGCGAGGGTCCCCGCGCGGCTGCGGACGGCCGGCGCTCCGCGGAGGAGGAAGAGGAGGAGGACGGACACCTCCCGGGGCTGCCCCGCGACGACCTCACCAAGAGCATGTCGAGCTCCTCCGTGTCCTCCTACCACTCCGCCCTGTGCTCGGACGGCACGGAGACCTTCAAGGACTGCCTGGAGTTCCTGGACGAGGAGGGATCGCCCGGCCGGGCTGCCCCGGGCCGCTGGGCTCCGGCGGGGTCCCCCGGCGTGCCCCCGCCGCCCGGCCCCCTCGCCCGCCCGCAGCGGGCTCAGCTGTCCAGCGCGGCTAAGAATAGCCCAGCGCCGGGCCAGGGGGGCAGGATGGGTCCCCTCGGTGGGGACCGGGAGCCTGTGCCGGCCGCGGCCGCCGGCGGGGAGCCGGCCGTGCCCCGGCAGCCCGGGACGATGCTCGCCGGGGCTCCCAGCGACTCGGACGAGGTGGACGGCGAGGTGCAGGCGCTGACGGCCAGGGCTTTCCGCAGCCTCTCGGGTCTGCCCGGAGCTCGCCTCGACATGTGCAGCTCCCACACCTCCTCCAGCCTCTCCAACTCGCTGTCGGAGGACGGCGGGCGGCCGCGGCGGTGGCCGGCGGGCGCGGGGGAGCCCCGGGGCGCGGCGACAGCTCTGCACGGCAGGGTGGGCTGGCCTTTCCTCGCCGGCGTGGACGGGGAGCTGCTGGGCAAGGAGCATTTCGAGTGCGTGGACGTGGAGCTGGAGAGCGGTGAGGCCAGGAAGGGCCACGGCAAGAAGAGGACGGTGCCCAAGCGCCAGATCCTGCTGAAGAGGAAGGAGAGGAAGGAGACGGGCTTTGGCCCCCGGGGGGATGGCCCAGCGCCCCAGCCCCCTGCCAGGAAGGAGCCCCCCAGCAAGGGCAGAGCCGTCGGCGAGGACTTCAGGCTCAACTACCAGCAGTTCATGAAGGCGGCGTCCCTGGAGGCCGGCCCCGACAGGACCAGGGCGGCCTCGTGCCTGGTGAAAAACGTCCTGGCCAAGAAGATGCAGTACGAGCAGCGCATCAAGATGGAGCAGAAGGGGCTGCGGGGCAGCTCGACCTCCTCGGGACCGTCCTCCGCCGGCACCGACCTGCTGGGGGATGGTCTGGAGGGCAAGTCCAGCTCGCTGTCCCGCTCAGACTGCAGCTTCTCGGCCGAGGACCTGCGGGGCGGCGGGATGCCGGTGGCCACGGCGGTCGCGGAGAGCTCCGCCACCACCACCCATCCCACCAAGGGCGTGGTGCTCAGCGAGGCGACGAGGGAGACTGTCTGCAACCTGAGGAAGACGTTCAACGAGCTCAACCAGAGGATGAAGTACCAGGAGGTGCTGGAGGGCCGCTGGCTGCCCGCGGCCGCGGAGAAGCACACGTCGGAGAGGATCTGCTACCAGCGAGCCCGCGCCTTGTTCGAGGCCCAGCCCGGCGTGGGGAAGGTGCTGGATGTTGCTCCCCGGTTTGCGAGGGCGCCGAGGCCGTGGCCCAGCTTGAAGGAGCGAGCCATCGGCCCCATCCATTCCCAAAGCCTCCCCTTCAAGGCTGAGAGCCGGGCGCTCCCCGCCACCCCGCCGCGCCGCCCCTTCGCCTCCTCCCGGGCGCAGGAGGCGAGGACGCTGCCGCAGAGCCAGCCGGAGAAGCCACCAGCAGTGCCCCGCCGGCCGGCCAGCCCCGGCACCATCCCGGCACCCCGGGGGTCCCCGCCGGCCGCGCCCCCCAAGCCAGAGGAGAAGGGGAAGGGGCGCGTCCCGCAGCCCCGGGACGTGCGCAAGCTGGTGAAGAGCAGCTACAGCCTCAAGTTCGGGACTGCCGGCGCCTCCCGCGGCACCGTGGCACCGGCGAGCAGCGGGGAGCCGCCACCAGCCACCCCTCTGGTCATCCACTGCACCTCGGTCCGCCGGGAGCCGCCGCCGGAGCCGGCGGGCGAGGAGGTGCTGGCAGCCCCCGGCCGAGAGCCAGCCCCGGCGTGTGTCGAGGGGCCCGCAAAGACCCCGCACAGCTCCCCGATCAACATCACGAGGGTCCAGGCCACGCGGAGGGGAGCGGCCCCCACGGAGGAGCCGCCGGCCTCGCCCCCGCGCCGGGAGCGGAGCGAGCTCAGGCTGCCCCCACGGGCCCCGGCGGCCGAGCGGGTGCCACACGTGGAGACCCATCTGCACGTCCTGGTGGGCCGGCCGGCCCCGGCGGCCCGGGAGAGCTCCCCGGCTCAGAGCAGCGCTGTGCTGCGGGCAGAGAAGACCGTTCTCCTGCCGCCGAGTCCCGCGGAGGGAGAGGAGGTGCGCGGCCGTGGCAGCAGCAGGGCGCTCCCCGCTGCCGAGGGGCCGGAGTCGCCGGGGCAGCGGCCCCGCAGCGGCGACAGCCGGGACCCCCGAGCAGGAGCCCCGGGCGGCAGCAGCGCCCGGCCGCGGCCTGCGGAGCCGGCGGCGAGGAGCGCGGCAGAGCCCGGTGGCAGCGAGCAGAGGCAGCAGCAGCCCGGCGGCCGGCGGGTGTCGGTGGGCAGCGGGGGCTCTGCCGGTGCCACCGGCCCCGCTGCCCCGCTCCGAGCCGGGGACAGCAGCGAAGCCTCTCCTGGGCGGCTGCCGGAGCAGAGGGAGGCCTGGGAGCGCTCGCCGCAGTGGCCGGCGGCTACGGAGCCCCACCCGCCGGCTGCCCCGGCAGAGAACTCCAACTACTTGGCAATCCCCGAGAGAGCCCCCAAATCCACACAGATGCCAAAGCTGTCCTCGGTCCCCAACCCAGGCAGTGCATCCTTTGGGACCCCCTTTGTCCCCAGCCCGGCCAGCGCTTCTTTTGGGGCTCCCTCAGCCCCCAACCCAGCCAGTGCCTCTTTTGGGACCTCCATGGTCACCAACGTGACTGGCTCATCCTTTGGCTTCCCATCAGTCTCCAACCTGTGCAGCACATCCTTTGGGAACCCCTTGGTCCCCAATCCATCCAGTGCATCCACTGGGAACCCCTTGGTCCCCAATCCATCCAGCATGTCCTTTGGGAACCCCTTGGTCCCCAATCCATCCAGTGCATCCATTGGGAACCCCTTGGTCCCCAATCCATCCAGCATGTCCTTTGGGAACCCCTTGGTCCCAAATGTGTCCAGTGCATCATTTGGGAACCCCTTGGTCCCCAATCCATCCAGCATGTCCTTTGGGAACCCCTTGGTCCCAAATGTGTCCAGTGCATCATTTGGGAACCCCTTGGTCCCCAATCCATCCAGCATGTCCTTTGGGAACCCCTTGGTCCCCAATGCATCCAGCATGTCCATTGGGAACCCCTTGGTCCCCAATCCATCCAGTGCATCCATTGGGAACCCCTTGGTCCCCAATCCATCCAGCATGTCCTTTGGGAACCCCTTGGTCCCAAATGTGTCCAGTGCATCATTTGGGAACCCCTTGGTCCCCAATCCATCCAGCATGTCCTTTGGGAACCCCTTGGTCCCCAATGCATCCAGCATGTCCTCTGGGAACACCTTGGTCCCCAGTCCATTCAGCATGTCCTTTGGGAACCCCTTGGTCCCAAATGCATCCAGTGCATCATTTGGGAATCCCTTGGTCCCCAATCCATCCAGTGCATCCTTTGGGAGCCCCTTGATCCCCAATCCATCCAGTGCATCATTTGAGTCCCCACTGGTGCCCAATCCATCCAGTGCATCCTTTGGGAACCCCTTGGTTCCCAACCCAGGCAGCTCATCCTTTGGGTCCCCCTTGGTCAGCAACCCAGCCCCCACTTCCCTTGGGCATCCATCAGTCTCCAGTGTAGCCGGCTCTTTCTTTGGATCCCCTTTTGTCCCCAACCCAGCCAGCGCTCCGCTGGGAACCGGTGCCTATCCCCTTCCTGGTGGGGAAGTGCCCTGGGGCAAGCCCAGCCCTGAGCCCCCCCTTCCCCGACCCCCCGAGGGCTCGGCTGCTGTGGAGCCCCCAGCCCAGCCCCACCTGGAGGATGCTCCTCATTTCCTCAGGAGGACCGATGGCTCCTCGCCGAGTGGGAGGAGCAGGCAGAGCCCCCCCAAGCCCTTCCCCACCGCCGTGCCTGCCCAGCGGAGGATGCTCGTGGATCCCAGCAGCGGGAAGTTCTACTACATGGAGCCGCCGCGGCAGCCCCAGATGAAAACGCTCTACGACCCCGAGACGGGGCAGTACCTGGAGGTGCTGGTCCCACCGGTGGCATCACACACCGGGCTCTACCAGGCACCTTTCAACCCGCTGGTCATGGCCCCGGGGGTCTATGGCCCGCCCTACGCTTCCTACGGCGGCTTCCCCGGGCTCCCGGCACCGCCGCCCTCCGCCCCCTCGCCGCCGCACCCCTCGCTGCCGGCTGCCGACAACCCCGGGACCCCCGGCTCCGCTCCCAAGGGCGAGGGTTCGTCCTCTGCCGGGGGTCCCGACTGCGGCTACCTGGAGAGCCTGTACTACATCCCCACGGGCATGAGAGCCAGCCCCGGCCCCGAGCAGCCCCCGGCCCGAGCCAGCCCTGCCGCGCCCGAGGGCTCACTGCTCCGCATGTGATGGGATGGATCCGCGGGGATGTCCCTTCCCTTAGCCCGGCTTAGCCCAAAGTCATCACCACCCCTGGCACGGGAGAGCCTCCCTGCCCACGGCTGAGCTGGCAAAGCGCCGAGGGGTAGCGGGCACTGGTTGGACTTCACTGGCTTCTCATGGAAACGGGGACAAAAAGGGTGTTTTCCGGTGTGAGCACCAGGCAGCCCTAGGGGGACATGGAGGTGTGTGCTCTGGCCAGCAAAGGGACCACAGAGGCCCTGCTTCCCCCTCTCCTGCCAGTCCCATCCCAAGGATGACCCGAGCTGGTTCACCCAGGGGGTGATCGCCTGGCCACCTCCAGCGCACCCCCCCCCCCCCCCCCCAAGCCACGGCTGCAGCACAGATAACCCAAAATAGTAATAAAAATGCTGAAACAGCTTTAAATCTGCTTATTCATCCTGTGCTTGTGTGGTCTGTAAAGGGAGGCAAGGGGCTGAGGCACTTGGAACATGCAGTGCTTCTCTCTGTCTTGGAGTATCCACCCAGTCCCGAGGAGCAGTGGGAGACTCTGCAGTGAGCCCTAAGCCCCAAACCCCAGCCGCGAGCGCCAAACCACAACCATGAGCCCCAACCACAACCATAAGCCTCAAACCCCAGTCCTTAACTCAGCTCTGAACCCCAAATCCCCACCCAGCTCCAGACCCTGTAAGTCCACACCATCCCAGGAAGGACTGAGGTTGAGGAGAAAGGATCAGGCTGAGTTACAGGACTGAGTTACAGCAAAAACCTCCTGGAGAGGGGGCACCCGGTCGGGGACACCCCATGCACAGCCCCCTTCCTGCCGCGACGCCCGGCTCGGACGGGCCGCCCCGGCCGGATGCAGGTGCGTGCTGGCCGCGCCTCGGCGCCGCTCGCCAGTCCCGGGGGATTTTTAGCCCGCCCCGGGGTTTATAGCCCGGCCGGGGGGGTTTATAGCCACCCCACGCCTCCGCCCAGCGCTTTCGGAGCGCGGTAGGATGCGGGCGGCGCTGGCAGCGTGGCTGGTGCTGAGCCTGCTGGGGGGGACAGGGGCTGAGGACACGTGCGGGGACCCCCCTGCCGCCCCGTCCCGCTCCGTCCCCGCGCCCCAGCTCAGCCCCGAGGAGCGGCTCTCGCCCCACATGCCCGAATCCCTGCGCTGTGACGCCTGCCACGCCATCGCCTTCCAGGTGGGGACTGGGGACACGGCATCCCAAAAGTGGCAGTGAGAACCCCTGTGGGGAGGCTTCAGCCTGGGGAGATGCTGCTGTTCCTCCTGGGCACGCCCCTGATGGATATTCCACTTCGGCGCCTCAAAAAAGACTTTTGGGGCTCCTCATGGACCCTCTGACCCAGATGTTCTTCTGCTGCCGGGGCTGCACAGAAGGGGCTGCAGAGCCCAGTCCCGCTCGGGAGCAGGTCATGGACAGGCTGCCACCCTCAGTGCCCTGATTCTGCCTTTTCTCACCCCAGATTGAGGAGCAGCTGAGCAAGGCAGAAGGGAAGGTGGGCAAGAAGGCTCTGAAGGAGTCGGACTACATAGAGGTGCTGGAGAGGAGCTGCTCGCAGGACTGGGAGAGGTGAGCAGGGTGTCCCTGGGATGGGGGTGTCCCTGGGATCAGGGTGATCCCAGCTACAGGCGAGTCCCCGGGGATCAGAATGTCCCCGAGGACGGCACTACCCCAGGAATCAGAGTGCCCCGGGGGTGTCCCGAGGGACAGGGGTGTCCCCAGCTACCGTTTTCCCTCTAACTCCCCTCTCCCCGCAGTTACGGGGTGCTGGAGCTGGACGGGGAGAAGCGGCTGTCGGGGCCGGGGCTGCTGAGGCAGCAGCCTCTGAGCGTGCTGGTGTCGGGGGGACCTTGGCCGGGCAGGTGAGTCGGGGTTTGGCGGTGCAGGGGGGCTGGGCACCGTCCCCTTGCCGCCAAGTGACACCGCGGCTCCTCGCAGGCTCTCCAAGCTGTGCCACGGCTACGTGGGCGAGCGGGGCGAGGCGCACATCTACGGCGCGCACCGGCGGGGCCCGGCGGCGCTGCGGCAGCTGCTGTGCCACGGGGACAAGGGACCCTGTGCCGGCCGCAAGGAGCGCCCGGACTCCCGCAAGGCGCTGCAGAACGAGCTGTAGCCCGGCGTGGTTAATGCTTAATGCCCCGGTGACCTTCGGAGCCGACTTCGTCCCCAGCGGGAGCCGACACGTGCCGGGCGGTGCGCGCCTTGCCGGTGTCGCCTGTCACCGATGTCGCCGCTGTCGCTCGAGGTCCGGTCCGGCCGTGCCAGCATCAGCGTGGACTCCGTCCGGGCGAGCGGGGAATTACTCTGTAACCCACGGGCTGTAATATTTCACCGCGGCGCTGCTCCAGGCGGGTGCAGCCCCAATTAAAGGAGTTAATGGCTGATCCGTGCCGGGGCTGCGCTCGCCGGTTTCACAACCCCCAGCCAATGGCCGTCCTCCCCCCGCCAACCGCCACCGCCCGGCCGGGGACTAAAGTCCTTCCCACGGCCATAAAACCCCCCGAGCAGGGACAGCGCCGCCGGGGACACGTCGGAGGATGGGGACCCGCTCAGGAGACCTGGCTCAGCCCCAGGTGAATGCAGGCGCCGTCCCTGTCCCCATCCCCATCCCTTCCCTCGGTGTCATCCCAGGGCGGTGGGGAGGGAGGTGGTGGCCAGGCACACTGACCCCAGCGATGGCCATCTCGGGGTCAGGATGCCCTGCTGGGGCTGGCAAAGGCCAGGGTGAGCCTGGGGACTGCAGTGAATCGCGGGACCAAGGGGAGACGCTAGAATGCTGTGGCTGGGACTGGCTGTGCCACCTTTCCCATCTCCTGCAGGGGGGATCCCCCTCCAGACTTTCCAGGAACAAAATACAACCTAGGGGTCGGTGGGTTTAGGAGCCCAGACTCCTCGTGGGGGTCAGAGTTGGCACCGGGTGGGACTGACAGGATACACCCTGGGCCATGGCCCGGTGTCACCCGCATCCCTCAGAGCAGAGCCCAGCCCCTCTCCCGTGGGACACCTGAGTCCACACTGACCCAGCTCCCTCCTTGTCCCCACTGCCAGAACGGGACCTTGGCTCTGGCCCCTGCCGGCTCTCCGCACAGCCCTGGGAAGGAGCTGCCTGTGGCGGGCAGGGTGAGTACCGGGGCACCCCGTGGGCAGCACCACACCCCAAATTCATCTGGGACACACCTGCAGATGGAGACCGGCCAGCCAGGACCCCTCCCATCCCTGCGGGCACAGGGGCTCCCATGGGGAAGGGTGCGGTACCCGTCCCTGCAAGAAGCCCCAGGGTGAGACGGGCTGAGCTGTGCCCCCACAGCAGGACCCCAGGGCGGGCACCAGGCCCCCCCGGCCGGAGGTGGACATGCTCTACAAGATCGAGGACGTGCCCCCCTGGTACCTCTGCATCCTGCTCGGCTTCCAGGTACAGCCTGGAAAGTGTCAGACCCCAAATCCCCGTTCCCCGTGGTGTGGGGCACCCCCAGCCCTGCTGAGCCCCCCCTCGCCCCCCAGCACTACCTGACCTGCTTCAGTGGCACCATCGCCGTCCCCTTCCTGCTGGCCGAGAGCCTGTGCGTGGGCAAGGACCAGCTCACCGTCAGCTACCTCATCGGCACCATCTTCACCTGCGTGGGCATCACCACCTTCATCCAGACCACCGTGGGCATCAGGTAGAGCCATGGCCCCGCGGGCCCCCCTGCCCAGCCCCGGGCCTGGGTGCAGGATCCCTCTGTCCCCGCAGGCTGCCGCTCTTCCAGGCAAGCGCGCTGGCCTTCCTCGTCCCCGCCAAGTCCATCCTGGCCCTGGAGAAGTGGCAATGCCCATCTGAAGGTGAGGGCAGGGGGGTGCAGGGGGTGTCTGGCTGCTCCCCGATCCCCGGGACCACCTCACCACCCTTCATCCCCAGAGCAGATCTACGGCAACTGGTCACTGCCGCTCAACACATCCCACATCTGGCAGCCCCGCATGCGAGAGGTACACCCTGCCACCACCCTGCCACCACCCTGTCACCATCCTGCCACCATCCTGCCACCACCCTGCGGCACCCTGACTCCTTGGCAGGATGCTGACGCCCTCTCCTGCACCTCTCCATGCCCTGCAGATCCAGGGGGCCATCATAGTGTCCAGCCTGGTAGAAGTGGTCATCGGGCTGCTGGGGCTCCCCGGGGCACTGCTCAGCTACATCGGGCCTCTGACCGTCACCCCCACCGTGTCCCTCATCGGACTCTCCGTTTTCCAGGCGGCTGGTGACCGGGCCGGCTCCCACTGGGGCATCTCTGTGCTGTATGGCATGGGGACATGGGGGACGCTGGGACAGGAGGGCAGGGTTGTCCAGCACAGAGCCAGGAGGATGTCAGGGGCATGAGGTGATACCTTGTGAAGGCTGACCTAGAACAGAGGCTGGACAGAGCTAAACAATAAAGTAGGGATTTATTAGGAGGCCTCAATGGATCCACCTTGGGCAGCACAAGAGCCCAGCCAGGGCTACACCCCAGGTGAACCAAAATGGGCACAAAATGGATGACTGGTCATGGGGTCTCTCACTTTTTTTTATCAGTTCTGCTCCTGTTGTCTAATTATAGCTTCAGGTTATGAAGTCCCATCTTTCTTGTTTTCCTCTCTTCAGCCCATGTTTTTTTCTGCTCTTGGGCCTGAGATTTGGATCATTTGTCCCAGGTACCCAGCTAGAGAAGGAATTGTTTTGTCTCCCTACACTGTGAAGAGAGCTCACATTCCCCTAATATGAAGCTCAGACCCACACACTAAAGCAGAACAGAACCTGAAAAATATAAAAGCTAAAACCTGAGGCATCAGAGGGATCCCATCTGTCTTTCCCCCCAGGACCATCTTCCTGATTGTCCTGTTTGCCCAGTACCTGCGGCAGGTCGCCATCTGCCTGCCCGGCTACCGGCGGGGCCACGGCTTTGTCCTGCTCCGCATCCAGATCTTCAAGATGTTCCCGGTAGGGACTGGCTGAGAGCATCCTGGGGCGGCCCCACATTCCCCCCTTTACCCCCACGCGGGCTCGGGAGCGGTGCGGGAGGGTCTCGGTGTGTGCCCCGCAGATCATCCTGGCCATCATGCTGGTGTGGCTGATCTGCTACGTGCTGACCCGCACCGGAGTCTTCCCCAGCCAGCCCGAGGAGTACGGCTACAAGGCCAGGACGGATGCCCGAGGGGAGATCCTGTCCGTGGCACCCTGGTTCCGCGTCCCCTACCCCTGTGAGTGCCCGGCAGCCCCGCGGCGCCCTGGGGCCCCGACACGCCTTCGCCCTGGGGGATGTGGGGACCTGGTGCAGCATCACCGGGGCTGGGGAACACCCGGGGGGCCCGAAGTGGCGCCGGTGAGCACCGGCAGGGGGTTCCTGGCAGTCCCCAGCCCTGACGTGCTCTGTCCCCGGGCAGGCCAGTGGGGGCTGCCCACGGTGACCTCA